ATCGATTTTGGCGCTACTCCGCTCGTCGGGGTGGAGTACAGAAATCGATTTAAAGGGCCCTTTACATCGAAATAAATAGCATCGTTGTGTGGACGGTTGCAGGGTAAATTCAAATTAAAGCTGATAAATCCGAATTAAAGTCGTAGTGTAGACCAGGCCTAAGACATTGTCCTTAGCTCAGCATAGTTTCTGAATGCATCACCAAACACCTAGTCCTGCTGCTGGTATTCCAGTCCCCAGATGTGCATCCTCCTTCCTCACCAGCAGATCAGTTTCTATCTTTTGAGGAGAAGTGGTTGCTACTTCAATCTTCTGCTGTGCTGGAAAGTGAGCCCTCCAAATCTTCCAGTATCATCGGTCTCCTGTGCCCACCATACCCACCATGCCACCCATTGCTGGAATCTTAGCGAGAGACCACACATTGTAAAATATTTGCTAGTACTCCCCCTCCATTAAAATAGCTTTTGCAGTCATCCTGGGGAGAAGGGGATATTGCTTTTTAATCCTTTCACTTCTGTGCCCTACTGCAGCTTTTGCACGATACCAAGATGTAGCATAGTAATGCTGAACTGCTGGTTTTCTCGGTTTTAATGGAACGTTGGCATTTCAAGACATTATATGGGGCATCATCTGTAATCTTAGTTTTTCTTCGTATACTAGGTACATTTTATCTCTGCAGTTAAGAAGTCGGCCAGTAGATGGTCTTGTGGTTAAGGCACTGGACAGTGGCTCAGGATATTCAGATTCAGTTCCTAGCTCTGCCATGGACTTCCTGTGTGACTTTGCCCAAGTCACTTAATCTCTCTGGGCCACACTTCTCCATATGTAAAATGAGCATACTAATACTTCCTTTTTCCCCACCCTTGCTTACTTAGATTATAAGCTCTTCGTATGTATTTGTATGGTACCTAGCACAATGAGACCCAGAACTTGATTGAAGCTTCTAAGTGCTACCGTTATCCGCATAAGATACAGTTTTATAACTACTTCATGAAAAATGCCCTTTGGATTCCATGGGACTAAATTAAATAAATAAATAAAAAGTCCACTACAGTTCACACGTCAAAGAATGTGAGCTGTGTTTAGTGTCCGGGTCTGTCACTTGAACATCTGGCATCCATTGGGGCTTTCCTGGTCTTTCCACTGTCATATTTTATCCCCATCTGTTAGAGGTTTCTTAGCACTGCTTATATAAACCATAGCTGCATCCCAGTCAGGCGAGATGAATCGTTGTTATGGGTTGCAATGTAAAAGGAAGAGAAAGAAACTTAAGGGAGGTTCCTTCTCCCCCTTCCTCCCCCTCCCCCGCATCCAGTGTTTCTCTATTAGACAATGCAATTATTCTGGAGCGGGGTGAGATTGAAAACCTTCCATGAATAGCAGACTTTCTTACCAGCTGTGGTCACAAAAACAGAAAGTGAAAGAGTAATTGAGGCCTGATCCAACACCCACTGAAGTTGATAGACTCTGACTCACTGTTGTGGGCTTTAGATGCGGCTCTTAGAGAATTAATAGGAAAGTGTAAAGAATGTTTTCTTTCCCAATTAGATTTCCTGGGCAAGGTCTTTGATGCATTTTCTTTAATTTAAATTGCTCCATCTCATACAGCAATGTGCGTGACCATTAGGAAGCATAATATTGAGGGCGTTGGGAAAGTATGAGTGTGCGCTAACTTTAGCCAAGACAGAATTTTTTACTTTGCATTTTTATTTTCTCTAAAAACAGGGCAGTGCCCTCATAACCTGCTCTAATGTCCGTCACATTTATATCTATCTAGCCATCCCAGTAATGCAGCAAGCCGTAGCAGCATTCCACAGACACTTGTTTAGCAAGAAAATAATTCTGCTCCTGTACTCACACTACATCCTTCTTGAAGGACAAGATACAAAGTATCCCATGTCTCGTGTTATTCCAGTAAAGCTCCTTGTGCTCCTCCCTGGAGATGACATCACACAGCCGGATAAGCCTGGGGCACCTCGGTGGATCTAATACCCTGCCTACTTTAGCAGCTAGAAGCCTTTCACTCCGAGGGTCTGATCCAGTGCCCACTAAATTCAGTGAAAAAACTCCAGTGGGCCTTGCTGTCAGGCTCCAGTTGGAACTGGTAATTGGCTACCCTTATTATGAGAGATGAACATTTGGGTAGCCACACACACCATGAACTGAGGCTGCAGTGACTCTTTGCACACCATAGGGTATCAGACATACAGTTTAAGGTGCCATTTGCATTTTAATACACTCCACTACACTCGGAGCTTTGAAAATATATTCTGTCTCTATGTATGTTATTCTTGACTGCCTTGCCTTTGTACCCATCCCACTTGCATATCAGAATTTTTCTCACGTTTCGTTTGCATTTGTATGGATCAACTGAAATGGGAGCTAGCAGGTGCTGGGGGTAGAATCTCACTCTCTCTGCTTATCTGTTTCTACAGAGAGTTTTTTCTTCCTGATTTCCCATTTTAAAAAAGAAAGTGTTGCTGCTCCATTTCTCAATGCAGACTTCTGTGTTTCAGTTCAGCAGTGAGATAAACAAAGTGCTAGGTGGTCTACTCAATAGATCGGTGCGGTGATAGTGATTGGGTAGTTTATAAATAAATCAGTTATCGGCCAGTGCTACAGAGTGAGTCTTGGCTGACTCTGGAGGTGCGTGTTAGTGTGAAAGGCCAGTCAGACCCTAAAGCCAAAGTTGGTCTATGAGGCTGCTGGATCAGTTGAATCTTGATGATTTGTTCTGACATTGCAGTCTGTTGCTGGAAAGTGATATCCCCGAGAAAGAGAGAGAGTTCTGACTTGCTGTGACTAAAATGGAAAAGACGAGTTATGAGGAGAACATAGTCCTGGTATCACTCAGATTGCTTAGCAGTACAGATTCGGGGAAGAAAAGAATCTGTGAGAGGTAAATTAAATGAATGCTGAGACACTGACTGTTGCTGTTCTGTGCCATAAATCCCAGCTTACCACATAACAGTTTGTCACATGCTGAATTTTTTTTTTTCTTCTTCTTGTAGAAAATTTTACTACATCACGCTGCTGAGAGACCCTGTGTCCCGTTACCTCAGTGAATGGAGGCACGTCCAACGTGGAGCTACCTGGAAAACTTCCTTGCATATGTGTGATGGTCGGACACCAACCCCTGAAGAGCTGCCATCATGCTATGAAGGCACAGACTGGTCAGGATGCACGCTGCAGGAGTTCATGGATTGCCCGTATAACTTGGCAAACAACCGCCAAGTGAGGATGTTGGCTGACTTGAGCTTGGTGGGCTGCTACAACATGTCTTTTATCCCTGAGAACAAGCGAGCACAGATCCTGCTAGAGAGCGCAAAGAAGAACCTTAGAGACATGGCCTTTTTTGGCTTGACAGAGTTCCAGAGGAAGACTCAATACCTGTTTGAGAGAACTTTTAATCTGAAATTCATCAGGCCCTTCATGCAGTACAACAGTACAAGGGCAGGCGGAGTGGAGGTGGATAACAACACCATACGGAGGATTGAGGAGCTCAATGACTTGGACATGCAGCTCTATGACTATGCAAAGGACCTTTTCCAACAGCGCTACCAGTACAAGCGGCAGCTGGAGAGGATGGAGCAAAGGATAAAGAATCGGGAAGAGAGGCTTCTTCACCGGTCCAACGAGGCACTTCCCAAGGAAGAGACAGAAGAGCAAGGACGCTTGCCCACTGAGGACTACATGAGCCATATTATAGAGAAGTGGTAGCCTAGGCAGACTTTTATACTGAATGGGATTCTAGGGTTTCCTGTTAAAAGATCATGGAAGTAAAAATACAAAACCACCCCCAACAAATCTTTTATTTAAAAGCAAGTCTGTAAAACAGAAGGTAGCATTCTTCTTTAAACAATGGGTCTTTTTACTGTTTCTTACAAGACCAATGAGATTCTTAAAAAAATAAATAAATACCTAAAAAATAAAAAAGGGTCAACATTAAAACTCAGATTTAAAAATGCACAAATTCAGCCACCCGCTTTTGAGGCCAAATACAATGTAATGTTTCTTATCCTCCCAAATTCAGAAACAGATGGCAGAGGTAGGATCTTTTATTAATCTGTTTTTCCCCTGAGTATAAAGACAGATATACAAACACACACATGTATATAGATAATTTTTTAAATCAAGGTTTCCCTTTGTTTCCCTTCTTTTTTGTGGGGGGAGGTTAATGGGGGCGTTATTTTTGTTTTGCTAAAGTAAGGATAGTAGTGGCAAGGTTGATTGCATGCTAAGCTATTAGGGCATGATCTAGCCACAGGGGCAGCTGCTTAGACTCAAATGGTAACCACTGTCAAGAAAATGGAGCAGAATAAAAATAAAAGAAGAAAGACAGCAGAGGATGAGAAACATTAAAGCAAATTGACTGTGGCCTAGAATATATACTTAGCACAATGGTTTTGATACATTGCACTGGTGTCGCACATGTATGCCACTTTACCATAGTAACAATAGTTAGTGAATTCATGCACAAACCTCTCCAGCTTCTGCTTCACAAAGAAGTTCCAAAAGCCAAATAAAAGCCAACCAAATTCCATGTAGAATCACACACGTAAACACAGATGGAATCTTGTCACCCCTTCCCATGTGCAGTACATTCCTTAATCAATGTAACTTGTAAACAGCACATGAAAATCCTTTTCTGTACATGAAACAAGCCAAGCAGAGAGAGAGAATAGCATCACTCCCGCATGGACCTGCATCAGGTAGAGTTCTAGTAATACCCTGCAAGTACTCAGTTATGAATGGAGACATGTTTATTTTGCTGGGATGTGTGTGTGTGTGAAATGAGATCTTAATTACAGAGAACACATACTTACACATACCTAAATTTCAAAAGTGCTAATTTTTTTAAAGATAAATTATGTTCCCAATCCTGCTCCCACCAAAGTCAATAGCAAAACTTCCACTGATTCCAAAGGGAGCAGTCTGAGACTTTGTTCCAGGGCAATAAGATTTCCTGCTACTGGTCTGAATTAATCTGGTGACAGTGCATGCTGTATTTTGGCAGAATGGCCTTTTCTGTAGATCTTATTTTAAACAAGGTGCACTCATAAACCTGGAAAGGGAAATCAATGGTAATGGTTTTCAGTCTGAGGCCCTCATCAGACCAGCACCCTTCTCATTTTGAGAGAGTCTGGTAACTTTCATTCCCCAGTCTGTGGCAGTCTAACCAGCTTCTGCCTACTCAAATCAATTCAGAGAGCAGCAATGGATTGTCACATTTCCCCCACACTCTGTTCAAATCCGTCTATTTTTTGTCATTGCTATTGCTATTCTAAGCACTTCTGCGTTGGTCTGAAGCATGCAAAAGAAGCAGGTTTTGTCTGCTCCATACATTACCCATTATTACCTGGCCCCTAGGACCTGAACTGGCTACTGTTTAGGGTGAAGTATGAATCAAATGGGAGACACCTTGATTTTCAGAGGCTGTGTTAACTGCAGATCAAATATGACAGTGAAATCACAGGAGGAGAGCCAGAGAGATATATTCAGCTCCAGCATGTCCTTTTTACAGAGTTGTCTTTCCCTTTACAGGAATGTACTGAGGTGTTGCTCACTTTGTATTTTAATTCTCTCTCTGCCTTTGCATGCTGTTACCAACACTGTAGAATTCAAATTGAGTTTTGCAGGGGAGGTGGATGCCTGCTGCAGGAGCTGCCTGATTTCCAAGACATAAACTGTGAGCATCTGGACAGAAAACCTGAGCAACACTTGGGGTTAAAACATAACCCTATTATGGCTCTGATCCAGAGCCCATTGAAGTCAGTGGGAGTCTTTTGTTTGATTTCAGTGGGGTTTGGATCAGGCCCTCACAGCCTGGGCCAGCAGAGTACTTACACATCTTAACTTTAACCATAGTGAGACATGCTGAAGTGCTGTGTTACATCAGGCTTATCAATCAACACCTGCTAGTGTTGTTCTCTTTAAGGGTCTGTCAGTGTTTCCATTAAGAACCGCTCCCGGTTTTCAGAGGTGTATAACATGGCCATAAATATTTGTTCCGGGCTGAAATGTGGAAAGCAAAACCTCCCCTTCAAAGGAATTTGGTTTGGGGGCAGAGGGTGTTACAAACCCATTCCTTCACCTCTAAATTCCAGGATTAGGAATAACAATGCTTGCTGGTTCCCAATGCTCGTGTGTGTTGCTGTAACTAAAGAAAACATTGACTTTTACAAAATGCAGTTTTACAGGCTGTTTATCCACAAAACTATACACGAGCTATAAAAAGCAACTGTTTTATGTGCACACTATCAAACTTTACCCGAAGGCTTCTCACTGTGCATTCAGTGTTATGGATCCATAATGCACAAATAGTTACTAAACTAATCCATATTCAAAGTACGCATCCAAACAGCTCCACAAGAGAGCATGCTGTGCAGTACTACATACACTGGTACTGAGTTCTGAGAACAATTATTATACTGAGGGCCAAATTCTGCCTTCATTTACACAAAGGTTGACAATGAATGGAGCTGCCCGAGCAAGGCTGGCAGTAGAATTTGGCCCAGTCTGGCTAGGTTATTTCTGCATTATGGGCTCTAAATAACTGGCTGAATTTTAGTGGATCTGTCTACATGGTTCAAAATTAGAAGGAACCTCTGACCTCAAGAGCGTGTCAGGGGTAGACTTCTTTTCAACATTTGCTTTGTAATATATTACAGTAACCAACAAATGAAATGAAACTACAGAGTATTGTTAACAGTTCACTTAAACCCACAAAAGGAAGAAGAGAGAGGTATGATGATTTTTAGTGGTCTGAGCTCAGTCCAGAGAGTCAGAAATTTCCATGTTCAAATCCTGGCTCGGACACATCCCTTCAGTTCTGCCTCAGTTTCCCCATCTGCTCATTGGGAATAACAATACTTACTGCAAAGAAGCTTTGTGAGGGTTAACTAGTGCAAAGTGGTGCAAAAATAAATTCTAAGTGTGATTAAAGGAAACAAAGGATACCCAGCCCGCTATGGCCAGTTGTTTGGCCAAAGACCTTACACTAATTTACTCTTAAGGGCTGGGTGCCAGGCAGTAAGCTGTAGGATACATCACTTGTCTGACACAGAATTTTCTTGCTTTAGTGGGCTTAAAGGAGCTTCTTTGACATAATGTGAATGTAGTTTATTGTGATTTATATGTACTACAATTTGGAGTGGTACCACTTTTTAGGAGCAGATTATCTGATGCTACAATAACATGAAAAATGTATGTGTAGTTTTAAAATTAATAGACACCATCTGCTTTAAGAAACTCCAGTGGAATTATTGGCCAGATATTTTGTTGTTGTTAAATATGTGCCCCTCTCTTCCAATACATCTCCCCTGCTGCTCCCTGAGCTTTCTATACAATTAGAGCTTCTTATATACAATGCTTCTTCATTAAGCAAGGAAATATTTCATAACAGCAATAGGTGTAGTGAAGACAATTGCGAGATTCTGACAAAGACTCCCATTGAATTCAATGGGAGTTGAATCCGGTCCCAAGTCAATACAACACTCGCTATTACATTGTTTTCCTGCTATGATTGCAGGGAGCTTCCAGGGAAAGTCTTCACTGCAATTGGGATCTTTATGGGGTGTTAATGGGAATTTATACAAGCATTAATGCTTAGTGTGAGTGGTTACATTGGAGCTGCATTGTTGGCACCATGAACGACCATGGCCTGACTCTCCATTTTCTTAGAGTTTATGTTGTCATTACACCTGTGCAAAAAGAGGTGTGACATGCTCCCACCAGTGTGCAGAGAATTCTGATCCAGTAGTACGTCGCTTTCACTTTGCACAGCTATAAGTGCAAGAACCAGGCCACCGTGTGCTTTTAGACTCCTGAAAAGAGAAACTTCACTGCTTGAAGTGTGTTGTTGCTGATGAGCCTGAATCTGAATGGTTATACTGAATGAGATTCCTGCCCACACAAACACTAGCCAGCCAATTAGGTGCCCCTTTTCGCCATGCCCGTTGAAAAATGTGCAGTATTGACTGGAAAGGATGCTGTGTCCTGTAACTTTTTGCCCAGTCAGTTGTATCTTACATTGTAGAGGTAGGCAAAACATCTCACAACAAAGGGTTCTTTGTGAATTAAATACAATTTAGCACAGGTCATTTTTCTGGTCTTTATTTCCTTTCTTCTCAGACTGCTCTCTTCCATAGCATCCCTGCCCAAATTTGTGTTAGAACACTTTAAAAGCAAAATTTTGGAGTGAATTTAGTGTGATTCAGACTGTGTCACTCCTGCAAGCTGCAGTCCCATGCAGGGGTGCTGGAACAATTTGTGAAGTGGCGGTGCTGAGAGCCACTGAACCAAACTGAAAACCCCGTATATGATGGAAACCACTTCAAGCCAGGGCATGCAGCAGCACCTCCAGTACCCCTAGTTCCAGCACCTATAGTCCTATGTCTATTCACAAAAGGACAGCATAGGCAGTAGCATCAAAAGCCTCCAGTGTGCTTTTTGAACCGTTCTTACAATTCAGACTCCATGGTCATTCGCTTCTTAGCTTTGTTCCTCTGCTGGCATCACAAGCAAGAAAGTACAGCTGTCAATAGCGATGCAGACACTTGTCCATTAGAAACTAGATTGAGGCACAGAGATCACCTGCTCACTTGACCACTGAACAGCTATCATATGGTATTGACCGTGTTATTACTGAGCAAGGTATGACTTTAATTTGTGACAAAGTTAAAAGGCTCCATTGCCCTTTATTACCAATTCTTTGAGCCAGCCTCCCCCTCTGGAATTTTTTGAAGGTAACAAATAGGTAGCACTACAGTAATCTGCACACAGGCTTACTAAATGTAGTATTTCAAAGGATATGTTTCGGTATGCAGTCCACATAATTTGCTGCATTCAAATCACAGTGCTACTGGGTTAGCTTTTGTTCTCGTTTTTGTTAATATTAGCATATCATGTTTCAGTAGCAGAAATGAACTGGCTGAATGCTACTAGAGCCAGGCCTTTAAAGCACAGCTCAGTTAGCAGTAGTTCCTGTTAAAGCAATGATCAGTGGGTCCCTCACACACAATCAGAGTTATCTGTGGCTGCCTGTTTGTCCTATCTACAGGAACTCTGGCAAGGGGAATGTGGTCCTTATAACCACCTGGGTATTAAAGCTTGCTTTGCCCACCCTAAGGGTGGTGGTTTTCAGTACAATTCTTAGCCATCCAAGATGAAAAGCATGATTTGCAATCAAGCCTTTTTCTTCCCCCAAGTCCCCACTTCCTCAGCCCTCCCAGGGGTCCCTTCTACATACTGGATTGAGAGAGCTGTACTATAATTAATTTTATATTAAAATGGTTTCTGAGCATGATTTGTTTTGTACATATTGGAATATGTTTTTAACTTATTTTTATTGCCCCTTTTCATTCATTTTAATTGCTTTTTTTTTAAAAAACAACTCAGATGTGAAGTTTGTGTGTGTATAGTCTGCCACGCAAATGAACAGCAGCCACAGGATTTACCACCAGTTTTATTGGTAATGGATCTGATTTTGTGTTGATGTCATTTGCTTTTGTCTGAGGTTTCACTTGTGTTCTCTTTAATTTCCACTCTGCTGTACAAGGAGTACCGCAGAGGTAATGGACAATGGAGACGGAGCATTCATTTCCTTCCCCTTTCTTGTGTGTTTTATCTACCAAGGAACTCAGTTCTTATCTCTAGGAGTTGTGTGACTGAGGGTAAAAACTAAAATTAAAATAAAACCCTTCACTCCTGTTTTCCCCCCAGTTGTAGATCAAACAGATTCAGCTTCTTTTAAAAAGCATAGTGGCTGAGGCCATCCACCTAAGTGTTTCCATTGGGCTGAATCTGTATGGTTTGCACTTTCATTTTTGGAATTAAAAAAAACTGTTTAACTTAAGCCAAGTACCACTTAAAGCTTTATATATTTATTTATAGCATCCTACAAAAAGAAGTGTTAAGGTTTGTTTGTTTTCTTTCCACAAAAAAAAATTGATTCAAAATAATAATCTAATTGTTTTTGTCTAGATCAAGAATGAATGTTAGCAGATGAAATAAACCCTAAAACCGAGCCTTTGTTGTGTGTGTTATCCTTACCATTGGCCTTTTGGAACCTGTATTCTCCAGTGATTTGGCTGCCATTTTGACAATGTGATATGTCTCACTCTGCTGTATTACATGGTAATAAAGCTGCCAGTGGGCCTAATAGAGCGGCCTTGGTTTCAGATGTTCTGCACAGAAAACTCACACTCCTATTAAGGAAACAGAAGCAGTACAGCCCATTTATCCTTAGCGTCACACAAAATGTAGCAAAAAAATCCTGCCACTAGTCATTCAACTTTCTAAATGAGTTTACTTTAACTCTGAAAATTCATGCACCCCTCCCGCCATCCTGTTTGCTTTTCACACATATTCTGGTGTACAAATTTATAGGCAGGAATGTTCAGCAAAACTTGAACATTCACAGGAAAGTGTCTTATATTTGAAAATATTCCCAAAAAACTATTCTGAGAGTTACTTTTCCAAGCAGGAAATAAAACTATACTGTGCTAAATAGCACAGCAACCATTTAAAAAATGTTTTATTTATTTATTGGGAAACCAGTTGTAAGGTTTAAGAGTAAGGGGGGAAAATGATGATATTCTACACAAGCTCCTTCCACAGTCCCAAACTCCACTTACAATCAGAGAGTAATCAGATGTTTCTCAAATGGCCACCGGTGCAATAATTAATAATCCTGACATTTATACAAGCATCACTAGACTTCAGAGTTAACATCACATACAAAGGAATATAGCTTTATACCTTAAGAACTATAATGTCTGATTTTCCTCTCACACCACAGGTAAATCAAGACTTCAAAACTGATGGGAGTGAGTGGAAAATCAGGCCCTTAATTTATTTTTGTAGAGTCAGGAAGACAGCATTGCCCCAGTTCCCATTCAGAAGGACTTACCCCTCCCCCCAAAAAAGCTAGATTTCAAGTTATGTTCTGATAAGCGCCAATATGGAAGTACCATCTCAGTTTGCTCTCTGGGGAAGCTGAAGTAAACAGAGGATGATAAATAATTTACTCTCAGTCATGAAGAGAATCTACTGCACATCTTGGGCTAGAGTCCAGCTCTCTGTCCCATGCTGTAACCACAAACTCATACTGCTCCCTGACGAGATGATTAGATTTAACCCTTCACCATTTTTCCCACATTGCATTAGTAAATGGTTGAAAAAATCAGCAACGTCCACACCCTTCCTGCAGATTAAACCAATATTACAAATGTGAGTGGTACAAGTTTTACAAGTGTTACAGGTGCCATCTGTAGCCAAAGGATGTTAAGCAATAAAGTCTATTTATCTGTACATGTCAGTAAGAAAATGATCCACTGAGGTATCATCTAAGCACATTTTTATGGTACAGAGAAAAGGTTAAAGAAACACCATCCCAAGTGTTTTGACCATCAAATCATTTTGAAACGCAGTAACTACAACATTTCCGAGTTTGCTGTCTAGTCTCCCATAGGATTCAAAACCTCATCAGTATGAAAGCACCAATTGGCTTCTGCCCCTCCCCCGTCCCCCTAATGTGTAGTCACAGCTCATTGCACAGAAGTTTGCCTGAAGTTCCTTCATTGATATTGGGATGCAAGTAGCACAACGAGTAACAAGAGGAATGGGCTACACGTACATACTATAAGTTGCTGCAGAACTATCCCTGGTATCTGAGGTCATCATTCTGTTTCTACTGAGCCGAATGGAAAAGGACCGTCCAGCTGATCCGATTCTCACTCAACCTGAGGAACAGCTCTGCTGCTTTGTATAGATAGGAAGATTTTGCTTGCTGCTATCATGCTGATTGATTGGCCAAGCAAACTTGAAGTAGGTACAGTAGAACCTCAGAGTTATGGATATCTTGGGAATAGAGGTGGTCCATAACTCGGAAATGCTCGTAACTGAACAAAATGTTATGATTGTTCTTTCAAAAGTTTACAACTGAACATTGGCGTAATACAGCTTTGAAACTTTACTGCAGAAGAAAAATGCTTTTAACCATCTTAATTTAAATGAAACAAGCACAGAAACTGTTTCCTTACCTTGTCAAGTCTTTTTTTAACCTTCCCTTTATTTTGAGTAGTTTGTTTAACACAGTACTGTACAGTATTTGCTTTTTTGTTTGTTTTGGGGTTTTTTTGGTGTGTCTGCTGCCTGATGGCGTACTTCCAGTTCAAATGAGGTGTGTGATTGACTGGTCAGTTCGTAACTCTGGTGTTCTACTGTATAGGGAACTGGTCATGTATGGCTGTGAGGGCTTTCAACCTTAACAGTGAATAGCTGCGTCCATGCACCCAGTGCCCTGGATATGGGAAGGGATAGCTTAGTGGTTTAAGGATTGGCCTACTAAACCCAGGGTTATGAGTTCAATCCTTCAGGGTGCCATTCAGGGAAGTAGGGTAAAAATCTGTCTGGGGATTGGCCCTGCTTTGAGAAGGGGGACTAGATGACCTCCTGAGGTCCCTTCCAACATATTTTTTCAGGGGGAGGGATAGCATAGTGGTTTGAGCATTGGCCTGCTAAACCCAGGGTTGTGAGTTCAATTCTTGAGGGGGCCATTTAGGGATCTGGGGCAAAAATCTGTCTGGGGATTGGTCCTGCTTTGAGCGGGGGGGGGGGTGGACTAGAGTGACCTCCTGAGGTCCCTTCCAGCTCTGATATTCTATGTTGGTATTCTTCTACTCAATCAGGCAGAAGAGAAGCACAAGGGATTGGATTGTTGTCACTCCATAGCTTTTGTTTGAAAAGGAAGGAATGACAAGAGAGAGCTGCATTTGGGCACAAGTACAAATCTGTGTTAATTTCATGTGGCATATCAGTGCCTCCCTTAGAAATGCTGGAAAAGACAACTGGGGGGGAGTGGTCTGTCATGCAACAGTTTAGTATGGGTCATGGATTCACAAATACAGTGAGGAGAGTGAAGGCAGGTGTAATCAGGAATAGAGTGTAAGGATATAAAAAAAGACTTAATTTGAAATCCAATAAAAATACACTTTGAGTTAGAGTTCCAACAGTAGCTTTCAAATGAAATAAAATCTACCTTTAGGGACAAAAAATCTGGCAAAACCCCCAAAAGACTGATTCTAACCAACACTGAATTCCCATCTCTGCTGAGCGCCTAACCTGGATTGACCTCTGAGCCCCTGAACTGGCATGAACCCTTTAGCTTTATAGTCACTTGGTTCTGCTTACTGATTTGATTTAGCCAATCAGTTGCCACCACCTCCTTCTCCTCCTCCATGCAAATATCCTTTTTCTTCTATGTATATTTTCCCCATTAAAACACTTGCTCACCTTTTTTACTTCCTTCTGGGCAGAAAAGGGATACCAGCAAAAATACCACCCGTATAAACAAACCAAGCAAAACTGATAAAGTTATCTCTATTCTTTATAGTGGTGTCAACCCCAAGCAGTCAAAAATCCTGTTTAAAAACAATCCGTTTGCCTTTCTTTTTATTTGCCTTCTGGCTTTTGCACCTGGAGGGGTTAGGGGAGGGTGTCTCATATTCAAGCATTTCTCCACACCCATGATAGCTAGAAAGCTGAGATACTATTGTATTCACCTGCCTCCAGGGTCTAGGGCTTCAAGAATACTATAAAAAACAATGGGACTCTCAATAAAATTATGAGAATTGTCAAACCTATGGCTTAGGCTTTCCACTCAGTGGGAAGCAGCAGTGCTGTCTCCCTTCAGTACTGCATTCCTAACAGCAGGAGGTGCTGTATGAGGGTATCAATAGCATCCTGCACACAGCTCCTAGCCCATTCTCACTCACTTTGGTCCAAAATGGAGTCTAGCTCTCAGCAGCAAACATTGTGGATTCCCCTGGTTCCAGAGAAAATGGTGGCAATAGAGCTGCTCCCAGGTAAGAATGGCCAAGTGGCTACTCTCCCAGCTGGAAGAAGCCAGTTGTATAATGTGTACCCTGTGGCTGCCCTCCCTGGAAACTGTAATTCAGTAGAGGGCAATTAGTGCAAGTACCATTCCTTGTTACATGGACACTCCCCAAAGCTGCTTGTGGCTGTCTGCATTGCCTGTGGCCGATTGCTCCATCACAGGTTCACCCCACTCTTTCCTGCATTTTTTTTTTTTTAGTTACTCTGGAGTAGGGTGCAAAGGCAGGAGGGGAAAGAAACCTGCCTTCTCTCTGGGAAGTAATGGTGCAAAGGAAGCAAATGGGAGGAGGCGGGTTCCTTTCAGTGGCATAAATCCAGGTATAGGCCCCTGACGAAATGAGTTTGGCTGGGCTTCGTTTTATAGGGTGCCCCAGAACCCAAAGAGCAAAATAGGAACTGTGCTATTTCACAGGCTCTGATCAGGAGGGACCCAGGAATGCTGTTTGGGGCAGGGACTGTCTTTTGTTCTGTGTTTGTGCAGAGTGGGATCCTGGTCTGTGAATGAGGCTCCTGGGCACTACAGTAATACACATAATAATAATTAATAATAGGTAACAGTCTCTATAGTAACTATCAGCTCTGTATTCTTGGGGAACCAGGGTGCAGTACCCAGCCTGAATCACGAAAGACCCTCCCCCCCCCCCCCCCGCTTGAACCAAAGCTGATCAGAAGATGGACTTATGAAAAGGCAGGGAGAGACAACCTAAACCCCTCTGGACAAGGGTGACAGGATTCAGGAAACTCCCCTAGCCTCATTTGGAGATTGGACTGGGAGGCATCCTCATTAGCATACAGAATGGAGAACAGAGATTCCAAGGCATGAACCACACAGAACTCTGGGACCAGGAAAGCACTGCATGATGGGGAATCGCTGCTCCGGATGTTAATGAACCCATGCGTGCATACACCCAGCTCAGTAGTTATCAGACCAATTCTAGTAATAAATCCTTTATTAGCATCCAAAATACTGAAGCTGCCTAATTGCATTGTGAGCTCCCTGGAAGGAACACGGCCCATAGTCAGGAATGAGCTGTTCCTGTTGTCTATCCTGAACAAAACAACTTTGGTATACTCCCTTGAGCCATCAGTTTACCCATAAACAAATCTAGTGTTCTCCCTTGAATCATT